GGCGCCGAACCAGAACCACAGGCAGCAGCTCTCTCCTATAACCAGTGGTTCTCAACCTTCTGGCCCTTTAAATGCAGTTCCTCATGTTGTGACCCAACCATAAAATTATTTCCGTTGCTACTTCACAACTGTAATGTTGCTACTGTTATGAATCGTCATGTAAATATCTGATATGGGGTGGGGCCACAACATTAATAAAAAAGAAACAGAATTTCCGGAGGATGAGGCCCAGAAATCAGGATTTTAAAAAGATTCCCAGATGATTCTAATGTGCAGCCAAGGTTGAGAACCACTGCTCTAGACTCTCACCGCTTTTGTAAGTATCTGTAAAAATATACAGCCAGAATATTGCCTGCTTTTGACGACATGCTGGACATAGATTCTTCCGCAATGTTATTTTTGGCCTGACAATGTGTTTGTGAGATTCATTTACGTTGAAACAGGTAATTCTTCGTTCCTTTTAACTGTCGCTGTGTGCCACACTGTGTGGTGTGGCACAGTGCATTTATCGCTTGTCCTTTTAGTGGGCATTGGAAGTTTTCCTCTCCTGGATTATACACCTGCTACAGTGAACGCTCTTACCTGTGACCCCTTGTGCCTTTCTCTGAGGGCACATACCTCCGAGCGCAGCCACCTGATCTGAACAGCGCGTGCTTTTGCAAATTGATCAGGTGTGGTGAAGTCGCTTCCAAAGTGATCGCACCAGTTTGCCTTCTCACCAGTAATAAATGAGAGTTCCCTTCCCTTCATGCCCTCGCCACTATTTAGTATTCTCAGGCTTAATTGTTGCTAATCTAAAGTGTCTGAAATATCTCATTATGATTTTAATGTGCATATCTCTGATTCCCAGAGAGAGCCGCGTTTTTTATGTTTGATTCTGTGAATTGCTTGCTCGTAGAATCGCTTACTTTTTATTGGCTTATTTGGCTTTTTCGTTTTTATCTTAGGCATTCATTACATATTCTGGATACCAACGCAGGAAATGTCTTCTCTTAGTCTGTGGTTTATTACTTTTTTCCCCCCACTCACTCTGGTGCCTTTTATGCACAGAAGACGTCAATTTTAATGGAATGAAATATATTAATTTTGTTTTTATTGATAAACAAAATTTATCAATAGATAAAAAATAATTTCGTCACTTGATTTAAAATGTATCATTTTTTTTCCAAAGACCAAATTTCATTATGGTCTTGTTTGAGAAATCTTTCCTTATCTCCTGGGGTCGTGAGTTTTGCTCATTCCTTATGGTTCTTTGATGTGCCTGGAATTTGCTTTTGTCTCTGGTGGAAATAGAGATGAATTTTCCTTTCCCAGGTATACATATAGTTAATTGTCTCAGGACCACTTTCTGCCAGTCATCCTCCCCCCTCGGTTGCAATGCCGACGCTGCCAGGCTGCAGGGGCCACCGGTGGCTGGGTTGGTTTCTGTCATGTTTGTTGGTCTCTCCGTTTGTCCTTTTGCAATACCGTGGTGCCTTAGCTACTATATATTCATTAAAAATCTCTGTTCAGCCGAAACCAGTTGGGCTCAGTGGATAGAGCATTGGCCTCCGGTCTGAAAGGTCCCAGGTTCGATTCCGGTCAAGGGCATGTACCTGGGTTGCGGGCACATCCCCAGTGGGGGATGTGCAGGAGGCGGCTGATCGATGTTTCTCTCTCATCGATGTTTCCGACTCTCTATCTCTCTCCCTTCCTCTCTGTAAAAAATCAATAAAATATATTTGAAAAAAAAAATCTCTGTTCAATTGTAGCAAGGACCCCTACTTTGTGGTCTGAACTAATCTCAGCCCTCGCCTCTTCTTTATGAGTTTTTAAATTTCATTTTTAAAAACCAACACTGTTGGAATTTCTGTTATAGCTATATTGACATTATCAATTAATACGGGGAGAATTGACATCTTTAAGGGAGTGAGTCTCTCTGTGAATGTGGTATAGCTTCAGTTAATTTAAATCTTCTTTAATGATTTTAGCAAGTTTTATTCCTCCTAGCAATCTTGCCCATGTTATGTTAGACTTATTTCTAGCTAGTCAATTCAAAATATTATAAATGAATTTTTAAATTTTACTTTTTAATTGTTTGTTGCTGATGTACATGAACATACATATCACCTTGCTGAGCTCTCTTATTAGTTCTAATAATCTATGTGTCAAGTGTCTTGGATTTTCTATGAAGATAATCTATCATCTATAAATAATAACAATTTTGTTTCTTTATTCTCAGATCTATTTTTTTTTTAAATCCTCACCCGAGTATATGGCTTTGCTAGTTTTAGAGAGAGAGGAAGGGAGAGAGAGAAACATTGATTGGTTGCCTCCAGGGATCAAACCTGAAACCCAGGTATGTGCCCTGGCTTGGAATCCAACCCATGACCCTTCAGTGCATGGGATGAGCCACGCCCACCAAGGCTTTCCCAGTTCTTGCACACTTTTCCCTTTTCTTATTATAGTGTCGAGGGTCTGTCGTACAATGTTGAATAGATGTGATGATAGCTTCTTATGTCTAGATGACCCTTATTTTTTTCTGATTTTAAAGGGACTACTTCTAAAGTTTCTCAGTTAAGAATGATGTCTGCTCCTGGTTTGGGTAGATAGCCCTTATCATGTTAAGAAATGCCCTCGTATTTCCAGTTTGTAACACGTTTTTACATGAAAGGATATTGAAATTGTATCCAGTACTTTGGGAATCCTTACCACGTGCCCGGTATGGCAGCCCCAAGGCAGGTAAGAAGGAGGCCCTGCCACCAAGAAGCGAAGTCCCCGCTGGCGGAAGTGGTCCTCGCACCTTCACCGCTTGGGCCACACATGACTTTGTCAACAAGAAGATGCCACAGACAGAGGACAGAATGGGGGTGGGTGGGGGTGCAGTGACCACGCAACCGAAGGCTTATGGAGAGGCTGGACTTGAACTAAACAAAAGGGTTGTCAAGGTTGTGGGGAGATGGGCATGCTCGGAGGGAGGACAGGAGCAGCCCAGAGCCGGAACGTGCCCCGGGTGTGCGAGCCTGAGAGCCGGGGGTTGCGGGCCGTCTTGCCAGAGGCCCTGCTTTCTCTCGCAGACACCTGCACTGCACCCGGAACTACATCCACCTGAACCTGTTCGCCTCCTTCATCCTCCGAGCACTGTCCGTCTTCGTCAAGGACGCGGCCCTCAAGTGGATGTACAGCACGGCTGCCCAGCAGCACGAGTGGGACGGGCTCCTCTCTTACCAGGTGCGTGGTGTGTCCAGGAAGGGCCTGGGGAGAGACAGGTGGAGGCTGGTGTCCCCCATCCCACCCAGGCCTGGCACAGAAAAAGGCCAGAGCTGCCCAGGCCTGGTCCTCAGGGAGCCGCCCCCCCCCCTCGCCGTCTGATGGGGAGAGGCAGTCCATCATGGCCCCGCCCCCCCCCCCAAGGAAGACCCGGGCCCCTCCCTTAGTGAGAGTTCAAACCGACATGGGGGAGTGCTTATTGAAAAAGTGTACGCTCTATGTAGTTTCCGCGTTTATTTTTTTTTTTG